ACATGGGCTACGTCAAGAGGTAATTCCAATTTCTTCCTTCTCTTTTTGCAATCTAATTAGCTGTATCCTCCTGTGTTTCCACAGTAGTGTGGACCAACAAGCCATTCCAAGCACTGCAAATGTTAATGATACCTGAGTGCTAGGCCTGGGAAGTAGAAGGGGGCAAGTCAATGCTTTTGGAAACAGCAGAAGGGTATGTCCAGCTCCAATCATAGCAGTCTTTCAGTCTCAGAGCTGGATTATGTTATTGTAGAATTATGAAGAAATATATATGGTCTGTTGAGGAAGCTAGCTTTGCTCTGAGGCTGTGAGTCTACATCCAGAATCTGCTTTAGGCTGTTTTAATGGTTTCCAACCGTAAATAAACGTAGTTTTTCTTTAGTATCATTGTACTTAAGGTCAGAAGGGACCGAAACAGATCATCAGGTCCGACCCCCAGCCTTGGGCAGGAATGGGTGCTGGGGTCATATCACCCCAGCCAAATATCTCTCCAACGTCCTCTTGAAGACCCCCAAGGTAGGGGAGAGTACCACCTCACTTGGGAGCCCACTGCAGAGCCTGGCAGCCCTAACTGTAAAGTAATGTCTCCTCATGTCCAGCCTGAACCTTCTCTCTAATAATTTGTGGTCATTATTCCTAGTAACCCCGGGTGGTGCCCGGGGGAACAGAGTTTCCCCCAATTCCTACTGGTCCCCCTGGTGAGTTTGTAAATGGCCACCAGATCCCCTCTCAGCCTTCTCTTGTGGAGGCTGAATAGGTTCAGGCCCTTTAGCCTTTCTTTCGTAGGGCCTGACCCGCTGCCCCTTGACCATACAAGTCGCTCTCCTCTGGACCCTCTCAATGCTAACCAGATCCCTCTTGAAGTGCAGCACAGAGAACTGGACGCAGTACTCCAACTGTGGCCTGACCAATGCTGCATAGAGTGGAAGGATCACCTCCTTGGACCTGCTTGTGATGCATCTGTAGATGCACGACACAGTGCAGTTAGCTTTACTGACGGTTTCCTGCATTGGTGGCTCATGTCCATCCTCGAGTCAACAATGACTCCAAGATCCCTTTCTGCCAC